CACCAATGTTTGGGTGTGGGCCTTTCGCCAGCACGGACGTTCAGGATGTTGGGGGGATGTCTTCTGGCTTTGGAAGCTGGTGCTTCTCTAAGAATCCTAGCAGTCCTCTGTTGCTATATTTCTAAATAGCTTTGAGCCCACAAGCCTATGACTGACACTTCCCCCACCTCTTTCTTTTACCTGATTGTTTTTTTAATTGTGGGGTTTTCCTTTTGAAAGGTAGAAGGTCACAATCTAAGATGGTCCGTAAGCTGAGTCTCTCTCTGATCACAGACACTTTCATTCACTTCACGCTCGCTCACCCACTTCTCTGGTTGCTCCAGTCTCCTAGTCCTGTGCTTGATACTGAACTGCAAAAATGAAAACAAACGTCCTACACCTGCCTTCCTATCGGAAGAGGAGGAGCCACAGTGACACTCCCTGCATCTACCCGCCTTACAAAGAAAAGCAGCTCTCCTTAGGAAGAAATGGAATTTACAACTTAGTTTTAGTCATTAAGTGCATATGACACCAGGTTACTTGTGTTAACTCAGGTTTCCCTGCTGGGTGAAAAGCCACTGACACAGATTTGCTCAAGGTTGGAGGCTGAAGGAGGGATCTTCAGAGGTTTGCACCGCTTGAGTCAGCAATACCCAAGTTAGCTAATGCCTTCAACCAGAGGAAGTAAGCCCGGCTTTGGCCCCATTCTGGAGGCAGTGTTTGCATAGTCCCGCCAGCTGACACAGCTGCGCCAGGAGCAGTGCCCTCATGGTCGTGTGGGATCTTCCTCTGCGGGCATCTTCTCCACCACACAGACCCAAGGCTGTGTCTAACCTTTTCCCGGTACCCAGAGCATAGCATTTAATACACATGTGTTGAATGAGTAGATGAAGGGCCAGGTCTAGAGGCTTCATTTAGACATGGGAATGGCAACCCCCTAGAAGAATGACGGCTGAGCCTTACGGGGGAGCCAGGCAAGCACCCTACACCTCCCCACGTTGCACACTAGGAAACAGCACGTCACCTCATTGGCCTCAAGCCACGCCTGCAGTGCTCCCATCGAGGTCCTTCAGCCTGGGTCAGAGCCCTGTGTTTAAGTGTTGTGCTGGGCTGAATCCCCGAGGAACGGACTCTGTTCTTTTTGAAATCACTCAGGGCCACAGATGGTTGCTCTGTAGAGCAGCCACCACCCTAAAATTCAGACGTTTTCCATGAACCTGAAAATTTTTCTAGCTTTAATGTCAATCTCATCTTATTGATTTTTTTTTTCTGTGAACGATTTTTGAGCCTTCCTTGCTTTTTGTAGACACAAAGAGCATTCTCTACACAAAACTCTTTCATATTCTTAAAAACTGGCTGTAAGTCATGATTTTTTAAAAATTTTATTTATTTATTTGTGTGTGTGTGTGTGTGTGTGTGTGTGTGGCCAGCTCAGCCCACCAGGGGGCGCGGCTGGCTGGCATGTGGTGCTGGGGGATTGAACCGCGGTCCCTGTGCTTTGCTAAGCTTGTTCCAAGTAGGTGCTTTAGACCACTGAGCCATCTCACCAGCCCAGTCATGCTTTTTTAATGTATTTAGTTACAGGGTCTACAGGGTCTCCCTACACAGATCAGACTCATAGTGATCCTCCTGTTTCACCTTCCCAAGCGCTGGGATTACAGGCATGAGCCACCATGCCCAGTCTCAGTTGCCAAGCACGCCCTTGTGTGTGGGGGGAGGGCAGCACAATATGCTAAGGATCGAACCCCAATCCCCGATCTGACTAAGCAGGCACTTTAATCGATGAGCTATCTGGCCAGTTCTTAGTAAGCCATGCTTTTGAATTCTATTGTTTATATACAAATTCTAATCCACTTGAATTTTTCATGGAAAGTCCCATTTTTTGTTCTTCCATCTTTCCCCTTTGATCTCTCTATCTGTCCTAGAATGTAAAGTAGCAATGTAGTGTATGTCTTGTATTTAACCTTCTTTTTTATAAATTTCAACATTGCATAAGTTTTTTCCATTACAAATGACCATACTGTATTGTGTATTCAGCTCGTAGGTCTGAATACATATGCACACACCTGTGATGCTGAGCACAGACAATTTCGGCTTTTTCTTTGCATAAACTAGGCCCAAACTGCACCTCGCGTTTACTGTAGTACAGAGTTTGGGTCTGTGTTGTTGAATGCCATTATCTCATGAATTTTGGATTTGTCCAGGTCACTTCAACATTTGAATCACACCTTTCAGAAAATCACCAGTGTCACTTCAATTATTATTCCCTTTTGTTCTTTTTGCTGCTAGAAGCAGTAATTGCGGGTGCTTTGGAGGACTTTTGCCTTGTGGTTTGTGCATTATGATTCATATAGAAAGCTGTGTGGACTTCCATGTTCTTTTTTCCTCCTGTGCCGTGGCTGCATGGCCAGAGGAGAAGCTGCAGCGTGTACACATAGCAACCACTGGCAGTCTGGAAGGGCTTAACCTTCTAGCCCTACCTGCAGGCAGCAGGAACAGTACCCACACCCTGTCTCCATCCCTTGCCCTAAATGACAGTTGTAGGAGCTCTAAGGCACAGGCCCTGTTGCTCTCATGTTACTGTCATTAATCTCATGTGCAGTAGAGATACGAGTACACACTGAACAAACATGTGGGCCAGCCTGCCCTGACTGCCGGAGAGGAGTGAAGGCCAAAAAGACCTTCCCCCTCTGCTTTCTTGGTAATAATGCCTGCGGATGTCTGGCAGCAGCTGTCTTTATGAGTTAGTAACATTTGGAGTGACTAGGACACCTCAGGTGGAGCTACTAAGAATAGTGTGCATTTTGCCTGCAATTTATTAGAGAAGAAGTGTAAGTGATGTCATTTACCAAGAGACTGAACTAGGAGCCAGCAGGTGTTGAGAATGAGGCTTATTAAACTGAGGCCAGAAGGGACTCAAGTTCACTGGAAACCCAGGAAAAGAAAAGGTTTCCAAAGGGCAGTCATCATATCGAATCGCCAAGAAATCTAGAGCACACACATTTCAGGCCACAAACTGAGCTGTGCAGAAAATGGAACACAAGCTGTCATAGCTGAGCCTGAATTGCTGTTGAGTCACATGCTGCTGGGTGGAACCCTTTCTGACAATGTTCTCCTGGCCTCCTTCAACTCTTCTGAGGGACCGAGGCCTTGTTGGACCCAGACATAGTGAGGTAGGGTCCTCGCTGTCCATTTGTACTGGCATCTGCAGAGAAGCCTGTCCTTCTGTCTTCTGACCTTTGTCCCCACCAGGGCATCTCATCTGCAGGAAGTCATCAGATCAGTCTACTGTCTAAACTTCATACATCAGATTACAGGCAACTTGGGATTTTTGCCCAAGTACTAAGAGAGTCTCTGGAGGATTCTGGGACCTTTCCATTTTTTTTTTATTTTCTTCTTTCTTTTTTTTTTTGTGTTTTTTTTAATGGATGGGTCTACAGGATGTTCAGGGTCTCACTACTAGATTGGACTCATAGTGATCCATCTGTTTACAGCCTCCAAAGAGCTGGGATTACAGGTGCGTTCCAGCATGCCCAGTCTCAATTGCTGTCTCAGTGTGTATGGGGGTGGGGAGGAGGCATTGCAGGCCCAGGGCTTGAACCCCTGGCCCTGCACCTGCTTGCAGGCACTTTAATCCCCTGAGCTATTTGGCCAGCCCCCTCTTTTCTTTCTCTTTTCCTTTCTTTCTTTCTTTCTTTCTTTCTTTCTTTCTTTCTTTCTTTCTTTCTAGAATGTATTTGATACAGGGTCTCACTACACAGCTCAGACTTGTACTGACACATCTTCCTGTTTTCAGCCTCCCCAACGCTAGGATCACAGGTGTGTGCCACCACTCCTGGACTTCTTCAAAGGCTCAGCACACCCAGGGGCAGGACTGGTGCAGCATGTGATGCTGGGGATCAAACCGTGGTCCTTGCACTTGCCTAAGCAGGAGCTTAGTCTGTGGAGCTGTCACACCAGCCCCATTTTTCTGAGTTTGCTTCTGAAATAAAGCATGAATCCTATATACTTCAGGATTCCTAAACTTATGGAGATTCTATGCATACATACATAAACACACATGGTTTGTGTTCCTCACAGGTCCACACACACATGCACGCACACACACATGCATGCACACATGCACACACATGAACTCACACACATGCACAAATGCATGCACACATGTATGTGCACACACATGAACTTGCACATGCATACACATGCACGCACACACACACACACACACACAGCTTACGATCTCTGGGACCTGTCAGAATCTAAACTCTTGTCTCTATTCTTGCTGGGACTGGGGGAGTGGTGTTGTGGTCTTAGAATTCAGTATCTCTTACTAAGTGTTTTTTTCTTTAAATTTTGTTTATGGCAAAAATTGTGTGCTCCCAGTTCTTCAGAGTTTAAACTTGAAGCTTAAAAGTCTTGTCTCTGCTTTTCCTATGAATCATCCCTCCCTGGGGCCATCGGAGGGCTGCTGACTGCACAGCAGGAGGCCACAGTAGCCTGGCCTGTGGAGAGAGGCAAGGGGAGTCCCATCTACCTTCTGAAAGCCAGGAGGTGACTGTGAATCAGAAGTGCACTTTGTTTGAAGGTTTTAGGAATTTCAGGTTGCTGAGAACCAAAGGCCAGACCTAAATGCTTTTGGTGCACAGAGCAGAGGCTGGGGAGCATGGCCCACATTCTAAGACACTACAAGGGCCATGAGGACAGGCAATCATCTGATTTGGGACTGGCCTTTCTCATTGACGCAACAAATGCACATTGGCTTCTAGTTAGAAACCAGCCAGTTCCCTCTGATGCTTTAATTTTTTATTCAAATTGTTTATTGTTTCCTTTGTATAAGCTGCAAAGGAAGCTTTTGTGGTTGGAGCTCTCCTCTGACTCACTTTATAGACTAATCCCTCACTGTAATTGAGAGTGTACACCAAATAGCCTAAGAACCCCTCGTGGAAAAACCACACCCTCACTCTGCACATGAGAAGCCATGTGCATCCAGGCATTGCTCAGCCTCTTGAATCCTATTTCAGATGGCTATGAATTCCTGGAGATCCTGAAACAGGTGGCCCGGGACAACACCGACAATCCTGACCTGAGCATCGTGTGGATTGACCCGGATGACTTCCCTCTGGTAAGTGGCTTGGCTAGGACACTATCTCTGCTGTCCTTTATAGACCATGGTCATGTTTAGCATGAGGCCCTTAGTGGGAAGGAGTCAATGAACTAGGCATTGGAAGAAACCCAGGGACCACCCCAGGCAGTGTGACCCTACCCCATTGGATTTGCCCTGGAACAATCACTGAAATGCTTGGAGGTGCTACTGTACATACCCTGGAGAGGCTGAGTACTGGAGACCCCAGTAGGCCCAGAGTGGTGTCCTCCAACCAGAAGCTTCATAGCTGCCTCTCACCCCACCACCAACCCTCCCTGCTTCCATCATTTTCTGGATGGGGACCTTCATTCTGAGGTAACCTAAGTTACGACGAGAAATAAAAACCAGAGAGAAATGTCTTGCATAGAGCTAAGAACTTGGTAGAGAGAAGGACAAGTTGCTTTGAGAGCCAAGGCCATTCCTTTCTTTTATTTCTATTTATTTATTTTTTTGGTGGAACCGGGGATTGAACTCAGACACCTGGGCTTGCCAGGCAAGCGCTTATTCTACTGAGCCATCTCCTGGGCCCCCATTCCTTTCTTCTTTTTTTGTTTCCCCATTCCTTTCTTATTCCTACTGTGTTCCCCAGGACCTGAGTTAGTACCCAGCACACATTGCAGACATAAGAACTTTGCAGCCCACACTTAGCCAGGGTCCATGGTCAGTGGCCAGAGGGCTTTGCTTGAACTTAGCTTTATAAAAGAAAGACAGGATTTGTACAGCCTCAGTAATAAAGATAATGCACCCAGCTACTATCCCCTGCCAGATGGCTGCAACTACAGTAAGTTGTTTATATGCATCAGTCCCCTCGAAGCCCTATGACGCAGGCACTATTATAATCCCCATCTGACAGTGAAAAGAATGACAGCTGGAGAGATTAAAGATAGCACATGGTAGACATGATACTCCCATCCAGGTTTATGTTCATACCAGACCTGGACTTACTGCTTGTTTCTGGCAGAGCTAACAGCTGATAACTAATTCAAGTTCAGTTATTACAAGGTTATGAATGACAACTTTATCATTCAGGAATTATTAGTGGTTGCTGGGTCATGACTGATGATGCCATGCTGCAGTAGGGAAGACTGAAAGGTGTCAGTGATTGCAGGGGTCATGCTGCCCAGCACTACCCAGAGAATGGGTGAATCAAAGGCAGAGATTGCCATGACCCTGGAGACCAGTCTCATAATTTAGGGTGATTATAGGACAGGCAAGGCCATGGAAAGCTATATATGGGACTTTGTTTTTAAATTTTAGGTCCTGTTAGGTTATATTTCAAATTTATCAGTGTTATTTTGTTATATAAGTTTGCAGATGGTCTGTGATTCTTTGGACCAGTTATGTATATTTGCCTTGGTTTTCGAAAAAAAAAAAAATCTTTAGACTCTTCTAATTTCCAGATTCTTACTACCCCATTCCGCACCAGCCCCCATATTTTCCTGAGAGACTTTCTCCTATAGCACTGCTTTTCTGGTCATCTCACATAGTACAGTGGCTTGAGATCAAGAATTTTGAAAACAGGATGGTAAAAGAGAAGTGGAGAAGAATGGCTCCTGCACCATCTCTAAACTATATAAGACCCACAAGTAACGTGGGAATCAACACCAGTCCATCTCTGTAGTATTTTTCCTTGTAGCTGTACAAACTTTTTATATGACATGTTCACATTGTTTGTGTGCTGACATCTTTTCTTTAATGCTTGAGGTGTTTGAGGGCTGGGGCAAGTCACAATTGTCTTAAGAGCCCACAGACCTTCAAAGACCTAGTTACTGTGGTAGAATGACAGGTGAGTCCAGACACAAAAAAGTGGCTTTAACCAAGGATGCCCTTTCTGCTGTCTAATCTGATGGGTTTTTTTCTGGTCCAGGGGATCAAACTCAGGGTCTTGCACTCACCAGGCAGGCACTTATGCCATTGAGCTATCTTCCTCTAATCTGATTGTATGTTGCCACAGCTGGTTGCCTACTGGGAGAAGACCTTCAAGATTGACCTATTTAAGCCACAGATTGGGGTGGTGAATGTGACAGATGTGAGTATCCCCCACACAAGCTCACTCAGGCCCTGTTCGTCAGCACTGTTGTCTGTTCTGCAGTCCTGATTATGATATCTGTAGGAGTACAACTCCTTTAGAAATAAGTAGTACCCTTGGCTCTGCTTAAGCACAGAAATTTGCCAGGGTGGCCCAGTCATGGTCTCTGAGCCAGGCCTCACTGGGTTTCTATGCCTTTCTTCCATGGGTTCATCTCCTTTCTTATGGGGCCAGCCTGATCTAATTCATGATCTAGAACTTTTTACCCAAAAAAATTCTCCTATATCCCCTCTCAAAGTCCCAGAACAAGGTCTCTTTATAGCAGGCAACTCATACCTGAAGCTGTCACTGCGTACCAGCTGCTGGTACAGTTGTGGCTCAGAAGCCCTTGCAGGCAAGCACCAGGCTCAGCGGAGGGAAAGGTCAAAAAACCACGCATGAAGAAGGGGGCTCCTCAGTTCGGCCCTGTTGATCTGAGGGTGGGAAAGGCCAGGGAGATGGATCGGCAGAACGTAAACAATGTTGGGCCTTGGTCCAGGCACCTGATGCAAATCCACTGAAACAAAACGGAAGTGGGCACAGGTGCAACCAGGGAAAGAGCAAATAAAAAGAGACACTACAAAGGACCCATTAGTGCCAGATTAACTATGGCAGGCTGTCTTGTGAGCAGCGGCCTGTTTGAGATGTCCTTTGGCCCCGTTGGTAAGTGTTCAATCATGGGGGGCGGGGGACTCCACGTTTATTCATTTTGTAAACAACTTTAAAAATAATGATAAAAGTAGATTCAAATTAAAATATTTAAAAAATAGAATTGTATCATATTAGTGAAAAAGAGAAAAGCTTCTTACTACGGCATATGTATGGGGAGCGGAAGGCACAGCTCTTCTTGTTACACACACAGACCATGCGGGAATCCTTCTGCAACTCAGCAGTTTCACTTAATGTGCGCACATTCGGCAGAGGTGTAGGGGGCTGGGGGCTCACTGGGCACAGCTCAGAGCCCTGAGGTGTGGCTCAACCCGTGCTCATCCGCTCCTCCCTCACTCCGTCCCTCCTTGCAGGCTGACAGTGTCTGGATGGAAATTTTAGACGACGATGACCTGCCCACTGCGGAGGAGCTGGAAGACTGGGTCGAGGATGTGCTTTCGGGAAAGATCAACACTGAGGACGATGACCATGAGGATGATGATGAGGATGATAATGAGGACAGTGATGGAGACAATGAGGAGGATGACGAGGAAGATTCTGATGAAGATGATGAAGACAGCACGGATGATGAGTAGCTCCGACTCCAGATGATTCTTATGAAAACAAAAACCACAGCTAGCCCTGCCACAGGGACAGACAGACCTGGAGGTGGCAGCAGCCCTGCCCCCCATGCCTCCTTTCCTTTCTCCAGTGTCTTCTCTCATCTTTTCTCATCTGAACAGATGCTTGTCCAGATCCAGCAATCCACATAGCAGGGACAGGACAAGAATGGGTTCCATGGTGACTCACCTTGATGGCCACAGAACACCTTTCTTGGTCTTCATTAGTGCTTCAGGGAGTCAGAGTGGTGCCAGAATCTCACAGGCTGGGGAGAACCCTTTAATGCCTCTGTCAAGTTTGCTTGCCCTTGACTATAATGGCGACAGAACCCACAATTTGCTAATCCCGAAGCATAGAGAGACCTTGTAATCAGAGCCCTGGAAAGACCAATAGTTAGATGATTTAGCCCCATATCTAGAACATCAGCAAACTCATCTATGGGTCTTTTGATGTCTACTGAGAAGCCCTGTGTAGGTGTCACCAACACTAGCCTAGCAGGATCCTGACATGGGTGGTTGATTTGTTCTCCAAACTTCTGTCCAGTTGACAAGTGTCATATTCACCAATGGTGGGGGGCGGGGACACTGAAGGACTAAAGGCCCTTAATTTTTCTGATGTAGATGGTTCACATCTCCAAATAGGTCAGCTGGCCTTCTATCCTGAGCTGGGAACTGAGTATCCCTTCTCTGTCACCGCTAGTGAACTTCTTCATTTAATTAATTTTTTTTTAAACCGAAAAGCAAAAAACCCAATTAACAACAACCCCCCAAGTGAACAGGAAAAAAAGAAATAAAAGTCAAAAACAAACAACGAAAAAAAAATCCAGTGTGCCTTCTGAACAGCCTAAAAGGGACATTGTGCACAGTAGTGTTAGCAATGAGTGCGCAGGACAATGTCCTAATTTATTTGTCTCCATCTGTTAACACGTATGAAGAAGCTGTGCAAATATTTTTTGGAAACTGTGGCCATCCTTTTGTTGAATAATAGCCAACTAATGCTGCCATTAAACTCATGTCCTGAAAATTTGAGACTCTCTTGAAAATCCTATCCTGGTTTTCCTGGTTTTTGGTTCCTCAGTCTCATCTGGCTCTAGTCCTACCTCTCTGTTCCTTTCCTGTTTTCTTTTTGGACCTCTCTTCATCCAGCTGCCCTTCAAGGCGTTCTGCAGGGTCTCTCTCAACTCCACACCCTCTGCTAAGGTGTTATCTGTTTCTATTAGCTGCCACCTGTGCAGGATTTCTCCAGATGTGGATCCCTAACCTGGCCTCCTGCCTTGGGGTGTAGACCTACTCATTCAACTCCTGCTCCATGGCTCGGCTTGAATGTTCTACAAGCACTTATAACTCAACACAAAAAAAACTTGAACTCCTGCCTTCCCCCCTAAACTTCTCCTGCCTATGGAGTCCCAGTTTGGATGAGTGATGCCATTCTCTGTATAATTATCTAGGTGCTGTGAAAGTACCCCACTCCTCTCTATTCCTACGGCAGTTGGTGCATGCTGTAGGTCACGACCCCTGTCATTTAAATTATAGCACATCTGTCCTTCCACTGAGTTGTAAGCTCCTTCAGGGCAAGAGATTTATTTATCTTTGTATTTCCAGAACTTATTACTTTGCCTATCACAAAGTAGATACTCATTTATTGAACTGAGACATGAATAATTGATTAGTCAGAACAGTTATAATTCCCTACCACTAGTTGTTGTCCAACAGAGCTAGTGGGGTGTATTGCTCTGCTTGCACTGATTATCATTGGGGGGCGTAAGCAATAGAAGCTTGTTTACGCACAGCTGCCAGCTACATGGGTTCCTGATGAGGGGGTCTCTTTCTGGGTTCTTCTACACCTCTTCCTGGGGGAGGGGATGGGTGCACACAAGCACACGCCGGTGTCTCCCCCTCCTCCTCCAAGGACACCCATCCAATCAGGTTGGGGCACCATCCCAGGACTTCATTTAAACATACAGGTTCTATCTCCACATACAGATATATAGTCACATTGTGAGCCACTGGCTTAACATGAGTTGGGGACCTAAGATTCACCCTACCACCCAGAACCGGCTAGAAATGACTACTGTTCTCCTCCCAGAGCCAGGCAGCTGCTTCCCAAGCTGTGCTGCGTTGCCACCCACCCAGGCCCAGAAGCACCTCTACTAAGCTCTTGGGGAAGTACCCTTTCAAGGCAGTGCCCGCTGCTAAGGTCACATGTAACCTAAGAGGGTGCAGTCCATCAAGAAATCAGTCTTGTTTCCAAACTCAGGAAAGCTCCTTGTTCTCGGGGGCCTGCGAAATACGCGTTGAGTTAAGCTCTTACGGTGTGCCAGGGTGAAGGGGGCTGCGTCGCTAGCACCAGTAGTGTTTCGTTATTAAACCTTATAAGCTGATAATTATTGAACATGTGCTGCATGCCTGGAACACTATGCTGGGAGCTTTACAGCTGTTATCTCATTTAATCCTCACAGAGGCTTACGGGATGGACGCATCTTGGTATTGTCTTCCTTACAGACGGGGAAGCTGGGTGAGACCCCCAGGGCCCCAGGAACTTTCCCAGGGTCACAAACTACTTTGAAGAAGTTAAAATACCATATAACTCCATATAACTTAGCATATTTACAAGGATTTCAATTCCTTGAATTAAGGAACAAAGGATTGAATTTTTTTAAATTCTCCAAAGATAGTCTCAAGTAAATTTCCCATAATCTTTTTTATTGCTTGAACCAAATGCCCTTTCTCCTTTCATCCCAATATTAAACAAATAATATAGGAAAGGTTGGCTAATTAGAAGTGCAAGGTCTGGCTATCTGGTTTTTTTTTTTTTAATTTTATTTCTGTGTGTGTGTGTGTGTGTGTGTGTGGCCAGCTCAGCCCACCAGCGGGTGGGGCTGGCTGGCATGTGGTGCTGGGGGATTGAACCACGGTCCCTGTGCTTTGCTAAGCTTGTTCTAAGTAGGTGCTTTAGACTACTGAGCCATCTCACTAGCCCCCTGGTTTGTTTTTAGTAAAATTCTTTTGTTGTATAGAACACACAACAATTTTTAATGTATTTCTATTAAAAATAATCTCAGGACTTAAAATGAGCTTCTCTTTCCCAGCACACATTTATGTACTATCCATGCCCTTGTTCGCGTCACCTCGGAAGCCATTCCTGTTAGCAGCATTACCATATGTTACTAATGCGATAGATCATTATCTAAAGATCTTTGTTCAACAGTCCCAGATACACAAATTCCTCATAAATGTTGATCCCTCGGGCTCAGTATGAAAAGTTGGCACTTTCAACAGGTTTCCTGATCAGTGAGTGACAGGCTTATACCTGAACTTATTCTAGAAAATTTAGACACATGTACCAGCCCAGAGCTACTGATGCGCTACCTCCAGAACTGGAAGCTGACCATGTGCGGAGCTGCTGTGCAATGGGGCAGGCCAGGGTTGGGGATCACTGCGCTTCCCACTCCTTCCAGTCCTCTCACCAGTCTGTGGCTTCCCTACCATCTCTCTCTAGCTTAGTCCAAAACACTGGACCCCTTCTACGAGGTTTACCTGAAGAAAAATGCACAAATGATGGTTTCTGGTAATTAGATAAGGCATCAGGGCTTGATGAAAGCCCAGGAGTGTTTTGGAAAAGGTCCGCTTCATAGACAGAAATGAGCTATCTCCCTCTGCCAGTGTTTGAGCCAGAAGTCTAGGGACCCTTAGTTGTCTCACACACGCAGGGAGCAAGCCCCTCTTCCCCATCCAACTACTGTATTGGTTTGGGGTGTTCCTATCTTTCACCTGGATCGCTGAGAGTTCCCCACTGGAGCTGGTCTCTCAGCTCCAGTTCACTATAGTCAAGTGATTTCTCCAAAATAAGAAATCAATCTCACCATAGACATCCTTAAAATTCTTTTGATAGTTCTCTGTTCCTTAAAGATGTTTGAGAAAAACTTCTAACCAAAGAGGCTAAAGAGTCAGGTAGAAATGGAGGTGATTTTAACTGACAAATGTAGAGTCTAGGCTGAGAGGTATGAGGTTGGGGAGGAAAAACAGGTACCTATATGTCTCCTAAAACCCCAAATCCTCAAGAGCACCTCCCCTGCATAGGAGGAAAGCAAAGACAGAACCTACAATTTACTGTACTTTCAGTCCTTTGTATTTTTCACCTGTCAGTCTGAAAGTAACTTCAGGGAAAAGATGGGCAGATTTTGCTCCATCTTCAATGCCTATGTCTATGTTTTTATAGGAACTGAATAAATCTCATTCAACTAGTCTTTGAGTATAACACAAAGTTTATTTAATAGCTATTATCCCTATTAAGAATGTGCAAAAGCAAATATAGTGATTATTGATAGTGACTGTAATCCCAGTATTTCTTGGCAACACAGCACCATCCACCCAGATTTTCTTTGAAGAAAAGGAACACCAACTCTTGAAGGCTCAGTGAGAAAGTTTCTAGGAGCAGGATGTTCTCTTTCCTCCAATGAGCAAAGACCTCCAGAAGTGCAGTAATCATGAAGTGAAGTAAAGCAGGATTGGGGTGGGAGAGGAGGGGCTGAGCCCCAGCCTCCGGGAATGGAACCACCATGATGGGCCCCTGAACGTCAGTGCATTTGCTTGATGCATCTGCAGATCCCAGTGTTGGCAAGGTGAAACAAGAACCTCTGTTGGAACTACCGTGACATTTTCACAGCCTGACTTCTTTAGAGTGATGAAAACTAGAATGCAAAGTAATGACCTGAGGACCCTCACGCAAGCCCAGCAACTTTCCTAAAATACTCAGAGGTGATTAGAATGACAGCCAGTCGTTTCAGCATTAAGTGTACTATCATGTTCTCATTCATTCTCCATTCAAAAATTCAACTAACAGGGGCCGGGGAGATGGCTCAGTGGAATAAGTGCTTGTCTGGCAAGTGCAGGGTCCTGCGTTCAATCCCTGGTACCCCCCCCCAAAAAAAAGAAAAAAATTCAGCTAACAGACCCTTAACGCTCAGCAAGTGCAGACAAAAACAACTAAGTGGTAGAACCAAGAAGAGAGCTAGGAAAGATGTGTGGAGCCTTTCATGTTAGTTCTATCAGTACATCCTTATTTTGTCCAAAATATTAGGCCCACATCTCAGAAACACGTTCATGTATGTACACAGAGAACACCCCAAGAAGTTGGCGATCATTTCAGATTGCCCACTGCAACACGAGCCTGAATGTCCAGACAATGCTTGTGTGACACAGACACTGACAGGGAGCCGCATCTCTCCAAAAGCAGGGAGACTTTGGTGCCCACGCACTCCGGTGCTGCGGGCTGAACCTGGCTCTGGGCTTTACCTGGTCTCATCCTGAGATCCCTCACTCCACTCCCATGATCTCATATTTTATCAATGAAGAGTCTCAAAATGCTGGCAAATTCTAGAACTGTGTCATGGGTAATGAAAAAAAGATGAGCCTATTATTATTAATTATTATTATCATTTGTACTTCACTATAGGGTCTCACTACGTAGATTGGACTCGCGGTGATCTGCCTGTGTTCAGCCTCCCAAGAGCTGGGATTATAGGTGCTTGCCACCATGCCCAGTCTCAACTGCCATCTGGGGGCAGGGCCCGCACGAGTCTTTCGTTTATGTCTGCATATGGTCTTAATCTTTTCTCTAGCAGAGTTCCGTTTTACATTTATGAAGTGCACACACCTTGATGGCCTAAAGGCCTTATCGATAATCTACATTATGAGTATCGTCAAATTATTGCTCTGATTCTTATCCCTGCCACTCATAGATTGTGAGCTAGATAAAGAA